AAGAAAAAAGTTATTTCATGTTATTTAATATCTAAAGAGACTCTGAACCCTGCTGCAATAATTTATTCATCATTTGTACAACTGTAACTATCAAAGAAACAGTCTTCAGAGTCCTGGAATTTACACAAGTGATTTCACTAAAGTAATATTTTTAATTTCATGTAATGAGGTACATAGTTAATTTGCATTTTTAAGTAATTATTATCCTTGTTATACCAAGTACATTGATTTAAACTAATAATAAATTTGATGATTTTAGGCTTAAAAGACTTAAAAGGTAAAGGACAGATATATATTTTCTGCTGCATTTTATAAACAAATTCTTAGTGACACAAATTTTAATAATTTTTCTACTTCATACACTCCTTGGGAAAGGAGTACGAAACCACAATTTACTGGGCCATTAGATTAAACAGTTAATAAGCAACTAGGCCACGGGACCTAGGCAAGAAAGATGCTCAGAATGATACTTCTACTTTTAACAGCACAACATCAGATGCTTGGGGTAAGTAAGTCCCTATAAAAGTAATGCTATAGTTCAGTTCCGTTCAATTCAATTGCCACTAACCACATGTGACTATAAACTTGAAATGCAACTGCTGCAAGTGGGGGTGTACTGTAAATATACACTGTACTCTTGATTTCAAAGAGCAACAAAATTGATGTAGAATGTCTCACTTATTGGTCACATGTTGAAACGAAAACATTTCAGATAAAATCAGGTTACCCAATATATTCACTAATATTAATTTCACCTGTTTCTTTTTTTATTTAAAATTTACTTTATTTCTTCCAAGAGAAAGAAAGAGAGAAATAAAATTAAGAAGAGATAAATAGGCACCCTTGACAGAATCTCATCACATAGCAATCTCCCTCCAGGCTTCTAATCAACTGGGTCACTGGTGTGTGCGAGCCCACACCTGGCACATTTCAGATCTACCTGGGATTGGACCCTCAGTCTTCCGTATGGTCTAGTCTTGCAAAACACTGCCCTACCATATGTGCCACAGTGGCTAGGTCTCTTTTTTCTTTATAAATGTGGCTCCTGGATATCTTAAATTACACAAATGTCTCGAGTTATATTTCTATTGTGCAGCACTACAATAGACAATACGGTACTGAAAGGGTATGTGTAGGGTAAACATGTACAGAATATTCTGCCATACCCTTGAATAGATCTGAGATTGTTTTCTATTTCACTAGAATAATAGATCAAATTAAGGGTGAATTGTGATTTGTGATTTGAGAAAATGTTCAGCATAGGAAAGAGAGAAGAGGGTTAACTTAAATTGGACTGTTGATAATAAGTATTTTGTGGGCTTATACTTGAACAAGTCTGAAATCCAGCTCCAGACTAATTTGATTATGTAAAAACTAGTAAATAGCACTTCATATATTCCAAAATACTATCAGATATACACTCTCATTTAATTCTCAAAACAACTCAATGGATAGCATTTTTAAAGAAATGTCTATTTTTCATTCCCAAAGCATCTAAGAGTGGTATTCTAGTCCTCCACATCAGTGGCTCACTACAGCAATGATTATCTTTAATGGGGCCTGAGGTGGTACCAAAGGCCTTCCAGGCTGAAAAATCTCTGGTTTCAATGTTTTCTAATCCCCCCCCACTATTTATAGTTTTGGAGGTCCCTCTGAGAGATCCCTGTGGACTAACCTGAGGAAGCCATAGATTGGGCACTTAAGAACTCTATCTCATGGCTTCCTAAGCCTGGGTACATCTTCCTTGACTTCCAAGCAGCAAACAGAATTTTAACTTTACTGACCTCCTTTTTCTATGTGTGTTTTATTTTCTTCCCTTTACTGATTTGTTTGTTTTTGGTTCATGCACAGCTAACAAGCCATTTCCCACTGGTGGCAGTAATAACTTTGATTTGGTTTCATGATCTGGTCATTTGGTGATAAGGGAATCTAATTTATTACTCTGGATCTTTTTGTTACTTGACTTGTTTGCCTATTTATAAGTGTAAACACTAACATATTTTATGTCTATTGTAACGGAAATCAGCTCTTCGAGATCTTGACTGGTAAATTTCTTGTGCTTCTGTGTTTAGTTTTGACCTGTGGTCAAAACTGCAGAACATAAACTATAAAAGCTCTTTATGTGTTTGTGTGTTTGTGTGTCTATAATTCAGAAAAGCCTTTACCTCTTGTGGGAGTGTGAAGTATATTTCTACATTCGGAGGTACTAATAATTACCCCTATCAACTACAGGTGTCATGTTCTGATTGCTATACAATAATAAATAAGTACTTACATAACCCTAGTAGTCTCAATATTAATAGAAAATAGTAAAACAGAACGTTTCTTAAATCTTGTGATAAAAACAGAACTCCTAGTGTTTTAAAAGTGCCAGAGCTAAAAACCTGTTCTTTAGAACTTCCATGTCAACAATATTTTTACAAAGAATCCAGGTTTACCTAATTATTGTGAATCTTTGGGCAAATTACACTAATAATGCTGACTTTTAAAATAGCAGTTTTATGCCACCTCTTTTAGTTTTTTTCTTTTAATAAATATGACTTGGGTTTGTTGTCTCACGGACTAGTTAATATAAACTTTATTAGCTTCTTATACTGATTTGGGATTATGAAAGATAGAAAATTTGTGTTCAGTTAGACTGGATAGTTCAAGAAAATTTTCATTAACAGTAATTCTTTCTTGTGAACCGCCTGTTAGTGGTTTATAAGTTACTTTAAACATATTTACACTACATTTTTGTAGTAATCGCAATCTCCCCCCGCCCAATGGAAAAAATATCAGAGAACACTTTCAAATAACTGCAGTCATTATGCTTGGTTTAGGGAAGAACATATCTTTCAAAAGAGAAGATGAATTTTTACATATGTTGCTTTACCCATGTGTTTTTGAGATTTATCTCTTCATACAACAGAGTGGACTGATGTATATCTCCATAAGGGGGGGAAACGTTGATTACATTAATCGAGGACTTGATTTGGTATTCAACAGTCATCCACAGTATACTATTTATCTTATACTATTTATCTTACGATATAAAAAGAAAATCAGACTATCTGACTCTAGTAACTGCTCTTAACTAGATTAGACCAGAGAAGGCAAGACTAAAGGCAAAGAGCTTTGTTAAGAGCTTTTAACTAGCTCTAATCTGGATGAGAAATAGTGGGAACCTAACTAAGTGAAATGCCAGAGTTAGCAGAAACAGGAGATTGTAGATTTTATATATATATATACACACACATACACAAATTCATACATATACATATACATATACATATACTTTTTCTTTTCTTTTTTTTTAAGAGATAATTTTTGCTATTGGTCGTGTGTGCTCGTTGGAGAGACAGAGAAAGACAGAGAGATAGAAAGTGAGAAATCACCCTCCTGGAGTGTGGCCACACCACAATCCCTTCTCCTCCATTCTCCTCTCAGGATCTTGGGCACGTACGCACACACACCCGGTGTGAGTTTAAGCTACTGGGTCTGGAACTTGAACCTCAGTTGCCTATGTGGGAATCCGGAGACTTAACCATTACATCATCTGTTGGTCACGGAGATATTTAGTTGGTAGGAACTCTGGATGTCTGATTGGTTGTAAAGAGCTGGTAAAATAGAGAATACATGTACAAAAGCTCCCAAATGGTTATGTCTTTTATTTAAATGGTTATGTCTTTTATTTAGATATAAAGTACACTGGGAACTACAACCAGGTTCATGAGGGAGACGCGTTCATTTTCTGAATTGGTGTTTATAGTACAGGGGGACGTTCAGGTAGAAATATCCAGTGGGCATTTGGAAATGTAGGTCAGGAATCCATGAGAAATATTTGTGATGAAGACAGAAGCTAGATGTAACTAGCTTACACTTAATGACACAAGCCAGTGAGATTATTTTTTTTTTAAATCCTGGAGAATAGGAACATTGAGGAATAGAACTCTGGGCTGGAGACTGAAAAGCAGTTAGGATGACAGGAGGAATCAAGGAGAGGATATTGTCAGAGGAACCACAAGAGAAAAGAATTCCAAAGAAAAAGAGAGAGCACAGTGGTGTCAATCCTTCAGAGGCAAGATGGGTAAGAAGTGGAAATCTCTATCCTTATCAGTAAAGTGGTTGGTGTGGAACCTTACTCAGTCAGGCTACAGACTGAATGGAGGTGAAAAAGTGGAGTCGACAGGACAGGGCAGTGGAATGCAGCAGAGGCTGTGCTGTCAGTACGTCTGACTGTGAAGGGCAAGGATGGGAAGGAATTGCAGAGTGGACAGGAGAGGGAAGGAGGCCTTTTTCTTTATTTTTAGTTAGAAAGACGTGAATATGCTTATATCTTAGAAAGACAAAGTAACAGAAAAAGGTCTTTAAAATATCTGGAAACTGGTTACCAAATATGCTGCCCAGGAACCAAGGCTAAGAGGGCCAAAGGGCAGTAAGTGCCAGAGTACACAATTAACGAGAAAGGCGGCAGAGGGTACTAAGTATGGCTCCTTTAAAATGGTTTAGGTTTTTTTATAAACATTGTTATTTAAAAATATATATTCAGAGGGCATGTGTGCTTATTAGACAGACAAGGAGAGGAAGAGAACATCCTCACAACAGGGCATGGCCATGCCGCATGCTGCCATCCTCTCTCCTCCATTTTTCCATCCTGTTGGGATTTGGGGAATGCATGCACATGCGCCTTGAGTGTTTTTCAAGATGCTGAGATGGGGATTTGAACTGTGCAGCTAGTCATGTGGGATCTAGGTTCCTTTACCACCAGGCTATGGAGTCAGTCTTGGTTTACGTTTAAGAAGCTCATAATAACCTATCTTCTTAACCCACATTTGCAAATGACACGAATCATTAAAAATAGAAAAAAATTCAGTTTCTTCTACAGTTTGGAATCACTAATTACTCTACTGATCTCTAATCTTTGTTTAAAACAAGTCCCACGTGTATTTGACTTTAATTTACTTATTTTAAAACTTTAAGGTAATAAAGGCAAACTGTAACTTAAGAAAGATACTTACAATTCGAACAAGCCAAGATAACGTAGATGTTGCTGTTGAATAATGTGTATTATAATGGTAGGGTGGGCTCTGATCATCTTCCCATGTCTCATAACGCTCTGCATAAAACACTGCTCTCTTTGGGTTCAAAGCACCAATTGGCTAAAAAAAATTCAATATAGTCATATTAGACATTTTAGAAAAGTCTTTTTCCTGAAAGTACAGTACCTTACTCATGGAAATATGTTCCAAGACTCCCAGTGAATACAGTTAGGATTATTGACTCCTATATAAACTGTTTCTCCCTACATACATACATACATACATACTTACCTATGATAAAGTTTAACTCCTGAATTAATCACAATAAGGGATTAACAATAAAAATAATAGAATAGAACAACTATAATAATATACTACAATTAAAGTTATGTGAATGTGATTTCTCTATCTCTTTCAAAATATCCTACTGTATAATATTTATCTATTTTCTTTTTTTTTTTTGATAGATTTTTGCTATAGGGTGTGTGTGCTCACCAGAGAGACAGAGAGAGATAAAGAGAGAGATCATCTCCCAGAGGGGATGGCCATGCTGCAATCCCTTCTCCTCTCCAATTTTGGGCATGCACACACACATGCACTTGAACTGTGGTCACCCGTGTGGGAATCCAGTGCCATAACCACTATGTCACCTGCTGGCTCCTGTATTTATCTGTTTTCCGACCACAGTTGACCATGAATAATTGAAACCACAGAGAATGAAACTGCAGATAAGAGACCACACATTTCACTGTTGATTCATTTTGACTATAGAGTATAAATAAATTTTATCGTATTATATTTTTATCATTTTGGATTTTTATGTTAATTATAAATCATCACACTTACTAAAAAAAAACTCAAGAGGATGATTCATACATGGAAATTTTCTAGAATGTATTAAAACTTTTAATAAATTGGATCATTGGAGATGATCCAGCTTTAGCTAAGTCCAAACCAATAACATTTTAATGTTATTTTCCTGCCAAGTTTACAACATACATAATGAAAATTAGCTTAGAGAACAGGAAGTCCAAAGAGGAGAAGGTGAAGTAGTTGACCATGTAACAATCCTAAGGAGAAAACCTAGTTTTACTAGTCTGTCACCCATAGTACAAAAGCCTACATTCCATGCCAGCAGGTAGTGTGGAGGTTAAGGTGGCTAGATCCCCACAAGGCTGGCTACCTGGTTTGAGTCCTGGACCCAGTGGCTTGAAAAATCACACTGGGCATTTGTGCTTGTACCCAAAATCCTGAGAATGAAGGAGAAGGGATTTTAGCATAGCTATCACCCTAGAAGGTGATTTCTCACTTTCCTTCTCTCTCTCTCTGTGTGTGTGTGTGTGTGTGTGTGTGTGTGTGTGTCTGACAAACACATGTACCTTATTGCAAACTTAAAAACAAACAAACAAACAAAAGACTACAATATTCCATATGGAACCATGGTGGAAGGTTAGTCCTATTCTGTTATTATATAGGTGGAACATCTTTCTATTAAGTTAAGTTGCAAACTTTAGGGTGATGGAAATAATCCCTTTTGCTAAAACATCTGTCAGTACACCACACCACTTACTGACTGTGATGCTGATCCCTATAGCAGAGTACACAATAAAAGATCAGGACACAATATTTTTCCCCTTTATTATTATTATTATCATTATTATTGTGGTTGTTTATACATTCAATCACTATACATCATTTAGATGGTAAAGAGACTCTACCCAGCATGATATACATTCCCTTCAGTAAAGCATCTTTTCTTTGAATCATTGTCTCAAACGACTTAGCAAAACCTAGTCATTAAGTATTTCTTTATGATTTCTTTATGACATCTTTATGATTTCAAATAGTAAACCACCTTATCTTAAAATTTTGTCTGATTTTGGCTTCATGGGATATGGAATCTACATCTATTGATACCAAATAGTCACATTCATTTTAGGGTATATACTATAAAATACATATGCTTATAGAGAAAAAAATTAAGTATAGTATCTAACTTCTTTATTTCAAAATTTAATATTATAGTTAACTATGAGGATCCCCTAAGGCTTAATTTTAACAAGAGAAGTAGCAGAAAATTAGTGTTTCAGTGGGACACGTAATGGGACACAAGAGAGAAAGATTCGTTACAAATTGCTGGTGAGCCTTTTCTTTTGGTCCCAGGAGACAAATTCAAATAACACAATGATGTCAGCAGTTAAAAGTCTGTTAGAATTACCACAATAAACTCTAATTTGTAAGAGTGCTTATCCTGAATATTAAAATTATTTGTAAAGTATCTCCATTTTTTGTTAGCTTTAATTATGACTTAAAAAAGAATAATTCATTTACATTTTTAAAAGCTGTATTTCTGTGCACAAGAGCATTAATATTTTAAAGTTCCTAAACTTTGTTTTACAAAAATGAAGACAAAAAGGTATAAAACTTGGGTTTACGTTTTTTACTTAATCTTTCTTTTGTGTTAAACTTCATCATTTATCTTTCCTTTTTTACATAGATTTAAAGAGGCAATGTAATTTTATTAATTATTATACCTTCTTAATAATACTTAAATATATCATTATATTTTTGGTAAAGGTAATTCCTATAAAGTAGAGTGAATGTAAGTTCTTTAATAGAACTCCAATGATGAGTTTTCACTTAAAAGTACCTATTTTATACTTTTCTAGATGAGAAGATATGGTTTTCTAAATCAATAAGTATATTTTTTTCAAATCTCTCAAAATGTTATTAGTATTTAGTTCTGTCTTGACTATGCTAAGAGTTTTCTGATGCATAAAATGTCTGCAAAATCACTACAGATCAGCTTTATCTGATAGTGTTCACTCTGTAAGACCTCACAAAGCACTCCTGGAAAAGGAACATGGCCCTTCCTTTAATTTTTTCCAGCATTCTCTTCAACTACTGGACAAAGGATAAAATAAAAAATGTGTTTATAAGTTACTCATTTCATCAAAATAATTTTACTTGAGTGATTTACAGGCTAATACTTTATAGAAAACAAGTTACACAGAATTAATATTTATATGTGCCTCTATTAGTAACTTCTTAAAATATATTAGTTTTTAATTTTTACATAATGCAGTTAGAAATAAATCTTATGAAACATAATGTAAATGATTTGGTTTGTACTTACTTTCTTTATATAATTTTACTTCTAAGAAACTATAAGTTATTTAAAAGAATAAAGCTTCAAAATATTTTAGAAATGAGAATATTATCATAGATGACATATTTTCTTATTGGATCCAAATGGATATTATATTTATCTATTAATCAATGAGTCATCTGCCTATCTCTCTACCTACATTTTGCAAAGGTTTTGAATTTTCTAGCTTTTGAAAATTTGAGCCAATACTAAAAAGCCATTATCATTTGAACTCAGCAGATAAACAAGAAATGAAAAGGTAAGGCTTTGCTTAGTTACCTTTATGAATTTACTTTGTAATACATTTCAGTTTATATCACAGTTACTACATCAAGAACCAGTGTTCTTAACTGTCAGTAGGTATTTAGAAACAGCAACCTCTGTGGTTTTAGGTGCTACCATATACAAAAGTTTAATTTTTTAAAGTTTACACTTGTGAGATTTATTGTTGCTTCGTCCTTGTGAGTTTTTAGATTGCAAGTGAACATTGTAGGGACCAGCAGTTAGTGTAATGGCTATGTCGCTGGACTCCCACGTAGTCAACTGCAGTTTGAGTCCTGGACCCGGTGGCTGAAACTCACTCCGGGCGCGTGTGTGTGCGTGCCCAAGATCCCAAGAGGAGAATGGAGGAGAAGGGAATGCGGTGTGGCCATCCCCCCTGGGGGGTGATTTCTTGCTTTCTGTTTCTCTTTCTCTCTCTCTCTCTGGCGAGCACACGTGCCCTATAGCAAAAACCTCTCAAAAAAAAAAAAAAAAAAAAACAAGTGAACATTGTAATAGATAATAGAAAATGATGCAAATAGATAACAATACCAAAAATGAAAAGGAAGATCTCTACCCCTACAAAATTTAAGTTATAATTGAGTTTTTTAAACTGCTAAAAAGCCTACATAACTAATAAAAAGTACTCTTTGCAATGACAGAATTGAAACAGTTACCAATACACAAAAATTTACATTCCCTATAAAGACTGTGGGAAATTTTATGTGTAATATTACCATGTCTCCCTGAAACATTATTGTATTTTTTGGAGAAATGATGCTGAGGATTTTCTCTATTTTTATCACCCAATTAATCCTTTTTGATGTCTAAAGAGAGAAATCTGTTCAGACTTAAGTGCCACTAAAACCTTTGTTTTAAAAACCTGTGCTCTGAGACCAGCAGATGGCGTAATGGTTACATTGCTGGACTTCCACATAGTTGACCATGGTTCAAATTCCTGACCTGGCTGCTTGAAACTCATGCCGGGTATGTGAATGTGTGTGCCAAAAATCTCGAGAGGAGAATGGAGAAGAAGGAATTGTGGTTTCGCCATTCCTCCCTGAGGAGTGATTTCTTGCTTTCTATTTCTGTGCTTCTCTCTGTCTCTTTGGCTAGTACATGTACCCTATAGCAAAAATCTCTCAAACAAAAACAACAACAATCAACTTGTGATTTTATTATGAGGAACAAAAGTCCTGACAGATCTTGTGGAGATTTACATAATCAAAGGCTCTAAGAAATACTATCATAAATAGAACTGTTAAAATTTGTTTACTTCAGTATTTCTATTTACTTTTTTTTTTTTTACTAGAACCATAACCTTATTTTTGTCTTCATGATTTTCCTGTCTCTCAAGTTGGCAAGCCATTCATTATGAACGTAATTTCATGAAAAGGAAATACGTATCTAGGTCTCTACTCTTTTCACACCTCTGTACTGCTTTTACACAGCTATATGAAATTTTGATCTTCATGTGTTTTTTATTTTCCTTTCCACATCTACCTATTTAATCCTTCATGATCCTTAGAAATGGCAGGAATCTTGTATTCTACTAGTCTAACTTTTTGTATTACAGATGAGAACACTAAAGAGAAATCAAACCTAGATCACCTTCTTAGCTGGTGACAGTAAATTTTATAGAACGAGCTGAACTGTGTGCCAGATACAACTTGAAGCTGGGGATATAGCTGGTTGGTTGGTTTGTCTTCTA